GTTTGAAAGATGAGCTTTTGTTCAAGAGTTTTACAGCTTTCCGTGCTGCCTAAGTGTAAGGAAAGACCACAGATTGTCATATGTTGCTTAGAATGATTAGGTAAATTAAAGTGTCTAGCGACTGGTTTCGATGTGTCCTTGTCATTCGAATTCTTTTCCATGTCGCGAAGGTGTTCTCGGAATCGGTCACCTCCCGGTTAACCACCTCCCGGTTAGCTCAATGGATAGAGCGCTGGACTGATGTGCGGGATGTCCAAAAAACATTGAGAAAAAAAGTATTCCTTCATTTGTAAGGCTCTCCCAAAAAGTTGCCTAATATATCAAATTTTTGTGCAAGCTAAGGAGTAACATGTTGACAATCACGGCAAGTTGTTCGATCCTTTTGACTATTAAAATATATATTTATACCTTTTCTCGTTTTTGCTCATGCTTTCTTTATTTTAGTACCTATCTTTTTTTGGGTACTGTTCGTGATTCACTCTATTCGTGGTAATGCTCTCACGGACAGAACGGCTGTCTTTGTTTGTGATCAAAACTGGTAGTAGCTATTATTTTTCCTTTCGGTAATTAGGGTTCTCGAGTCTCGGTTAGTCAGCAATAAAAAAACAAAACAAACTCACAGATTTTCGAGTTTGTTCAGCTGGGATCTCAAGCAATCTTTCACATCCTATTAAAGGCCATCCTTGTTCCACCTTGGTTGCACTTTACTACCGTCTTCCCGGGCTAATCAATTTTCTATCGTGTAGATATAATCATTCTTCAGCTATTTATCAGCTAAGTTTGTTATTTTCAATTCATGTTACTTAAGATTTTTTTCGTTTGGACATTCTTTTAAAATGTGTTATTTTAATTACCACTTTGGTGGCTATATATCTAGCTGAGCAAACTTAAGTATCATTTTTGTTCGAGGATGAAAATGACTCAAACATCGTCACTTGACTCCTGTGTCAAACAGAGGGTACTAGAGAGTGACAATACGCACGACTGAGTTAGCAGAACTGCCACTTGAATGTTCCAGTCAAAACAACTTAAAATGCTACGTCAGGGTTTATTGATTTCGTGCAAAAATTTTGCCACAGATTTCAAGTCCGTTAAATGCAATCCTATTTAATTGTTTGCATACCCAGTCACCTTTTTCCTTCATAGAGCATTTTTGCCAATTTGTATTTCTTTCTTCGCTTAATCAGTATTTTGAAGTCTTTCGTGAAAAAGGTAATTTTTTGACAGGTGTAACAATGAACTTACTAGAGTCAATCAAGCTGCCTTTTTACACAGCTACAGCATCATTGAAAACTCCGGATTTACTTAATTCAGCCCAACTATTAAATGAGATTCTGGTTCAGCCTATTATTAATTGGCTGATTTATAGCGACATTTGGAATAAAAAGGACTTTCCAGAATTTTAAAAAAATCCCACACATTTTGTAGGCGATTACACGTCATTGCCTGGGAATGGGGTACTCGAAGGCTAACGCAGAAATGTCTCGCAGTTACACGCCAGTTTTCAACGTCCGTCTCTGTCGTTTGTCCAGTAGTCTTATTTTACTTTTGTCACGCAATACAGATGGGGAAAATAACAATAATAAAAGAAAAATCAAACTATTTTACACTTCAATAATTGACTAATCTCGGATAAGTGCTAATCGACTTGGCGTGCAGAAGATGCCATATCCATCGCACCATCCAACAAATGAAGAAAGAATGTTTATGAGGCCTTTCTAAAGAAGATATGGCATGATAAAGAACGATGTTTGCAAACATAGTAGCAAAAGTCTTCAACTGGATAGATTCTCAGATTGAGAGCGCAACGACCTCTATTTTAAATCACTTTAGTTGCAACAATAAATTTCCATATTTTTAACAAGAATGTGCCTTGTGGCTTGAAAGAATGTCAACACAATGGTTGTGGAAAGGTGCACGAGTTTTCAAGAACATTTACATCAAATGTTTAGTTCTAGAGAGCTGCAAGCCCAGATTCTTTTAGCCTGCCCAGTATACAATTTATGGGCTCCTAGTTGCAGCCAAAAGATTGTAGCTTAGACATGGTGACAAATCGAGTGACCTAACCATGGTTTGAACTGCAAATATCCCTGGGAGTATAGGAAAAACATCTCGATTGCTGACTACGCTGGACAGCATCTTTATTTTCTCGTGCCCCGTGAAGATTTACGGTACGTCCGGAATGAGGAAAATTAACCATAACGAGATAAACGGAAATTAAGGTCATCCTTTAGACACTTACATTCGTAATCGTTGTTTGAAGAATCCTCCATAAATACGCTGAGTTGCAGCACCACGTAAACATTACATCACTTCATTTACTACGAAGTTGTTAAGGTCAGTTCTCCGTGCTGTGCGCCGTGGAGTAAATCTAGTTACGTGGATGTCAACCGACTGCCCAGCCAAGGTTAATTCTAATGTAAGTCGTTTCGCGTTTGACATACACACTTAAACATCACATGATGCGAATATTAATTGTAACAGGTGAAATTTTGATGGGTTTTAACTTAAAACTTAAATTATTTTCTCTCCTTGGAGCAATTTCGACTACTCTTACCTCCATTATGACGTAATTTAGAACTTATTATAAATAGGTCACCCATTTTAAGCTAAACAACTTATTTTGTATTTTGGATCTATCCAAACCATTAAGCTCGATAAATAAGAAACGTATTGCAAAGAAGCTTTGAAATGCCGTGCTTCTAGAAACTACATCTGAGAGAAAAGAGGATTGCATAGTCCCTTAAAATCACGTTTCCATTGTTACAATCATGTAAAAAAAAAATTGGATGGTTTTAAGGAATTTTAACAGAATTTTGGCCACGATTCAAGTATGAAAAATAAAATACAAACAAATTCAAAAAGGCACAACAGAAGGAATTCTTCTTACTTGTTAAATCAATCGTCTTGTGACCAGGTCGGGTCGCAAAGAAGAAATGTAACAATACATAATAAATTATGAAGAAAATTATACGAGTCCAGACATGAAATACGCTGCTTAGTAATGGTGACATCATGATCGAGAATGAAGTTATAAAAGAGTAAGCTGGGAATAGAGACTACTCGATATTGTGAGTAGTTTCTCTAACAAATGCTACTTGACGTTAACAGCTGAGATTGATCAAGTTCAAAACAGCCAGCAAATATGACAAACAAAAATTATCACGAGAAAAACAAGGTTGGCACGGTAGCATTAAGTGCTGGGCGACTGGACTGGCTGCCGGCCGGTTTCTACGCATTCATTTAATTTCAAAACAACAGTGGCACAGATTCAAAAGAGCCATACACGATGATAATTCGATTCTCTGACCTTCGAGTAGAGAATAACAAGTAAAACTGAAAACAGCGAGTATTCAAACGAAAAATGTGTTTTGGTGAAACAGCTCAACGACTTTCGTCTCGGGTAAGTGAACATCTGGTGAATCTACATGTTTCTTCGCTTGAGTTGTTAAAATGATATGGCAAATTAACCGCTTTTGTAAATCTACTTAAAAGAGTCAAGATTTCCATCTATATCATTGTGTTACGTATTGTTAAAAACAATCCCTTTCCTATTACGCTCTAAGACAGCGCTTATATAGAAACCGAGATCCGCACAGTGAAACGAAGAAATGTTGTCAAAGTGCTGCGTAGACATGTTTGATATTACACGCTCCATAAAGCCCTTCACTTGAGAATGAGACATTTTATTATTTAAGAGATCTGTTAATAGCTAGACGTCACTACACAGGAAATAGGACAATCAACGATGACGGCGCCCGCCCTCAAGACAAGACGGCGCGAGAATCAAGATGGCTGAGTTGTAAACAGCCTTGTTATATGTTTCGTCATTCCTAATGCACTGTGATTTCTAACCGCAAAATCATCACCAAGAATCCTGAAGTCGAGATATCGTCGCTTAAAGAGCTCTCTGCAGCAAAAAAACGGAACTTAACTTTCAGTTTATTCCATAAAAATCGCTGCAAGAGCTTCGAAGTCGTAGCCCAGTTTCGCTCGAGGCAAACATCGATAGATACATTTCTTAACGCCAAGGAACCAACCTTAAGTGTCGTTTGTCTGTGAGCCTGAAGAAAACACTTAATACTTTCAAAATTGTTAAGATTCCCTCACGTGAGCTCAAGCTCAATTATCTAGCTTTACCTGTGTGTATGTCTCTTCAGTCCCCGCCCCCAAGAACGCCCACGTAAAAAAATTCCCTTGTAACTCGGTTTGCCAATGTTGGTCCACCATTAGCGCTTTGGTCGGCTGCCGAAGTAAAGATCGCACTCTAACTAAATACGTTTTCGGCATAGGAACTGTTTAATCGATCAATCTTAAAGTTTCTTTATCAATCTGCTTAATTATCAGTTTTTTTTTTCAACTGGTAATTTCTACACATTTTGATGACGTTTGTGTTACATGTCTACATCTTGCTCATGCAGACGACATCACAACTTCTTGGGGAAACATCGCGATGACACTGTTCAGTTTAACTATTTGAAATAATTTTTAAGCTGTAGCAGCACTTTTTGAACTTTGAATAATTGCACAAGTCATCATGAATAAACAAGTTGCTCTCAAAAGCAGATGTTTCAATATAAGCAACGATCAAATGCGAGAAGCCTAGAGAAAACATTCGTGGCTTCTTCGGGATCCTAACCCGTGACCTTCGCGATACCAGTGAGATGCTACAGGGGTGAGATGCATGCAAGCATAATTCTGTTATCCAGGTAAATAGTAACTCCTGATTAATAACGTCTCTAAACGTTTACAGTTTCTAAGTGATTTGTCACTCATCGTAAATTTCGAGCTTACTCTTTCCACAGAAATTTCGATTTAATAATACAATGTTCGACAGTGTCCAAAAATTCTTCCGCGTGATATTTCGAATTTATTGTGAGCTGCCAAATTACCTTGGGGAAGGTCACATAATTTTCGGTTTGGCGTGGGAGATTAAACACCAAAATAGATAAATCTAATCTAAAAGTAAACAAGGTAATCAAGTTTGTCGCGGATATTTTTAGACTGGAAACGAAAACAAGAAAAATCTAAGCAAAATTTTTCTGGATGAACGAACCGTCATGAATCTCGTTTAAGATACTATTCACTCAATATAATTACAGACATCGATCCAAGACAGACCCATTAGTTATTAACCTTGTGTCGTACATTTTAAATTGCTATGCAAGACAGAAAAGTGCCGAATATATACCTCAGAGTTGCTGTTATTAACTGGGACCTTAGTCCAGTTTGACTTTTAAGGTTACGTAACAAGAATTTGAGCTTGCATTTTTTAACGTGAGAGGTAAATTTTCGATGACAAGATATTAATGGCAGATCGACTGCGCTAATGACTACATCGTTGACATCCAGTAATGCCAATCCCCTTAGAATAGAAGCCTCCGGCGAGGTTTACATCTTAAGCGTCAAATTATAATGAAAAGTCTTGCAGAATGGATAGGGCACTATTTAAAACGCATTCCAGAATGGAGACGGAAAAAGTGCCCGACTAAGATTACAGAAAAAAAGATTAAAACAAGAAAGAAAAAAAAAAACGTGTGATCTGGTATCGGTTTCCACGCAAACAATATATTTAATCATTTGTGATGGCTCTGCCTCACACGAGAAAAACACAAATAAACCGTTCAACACTTATAAGGTGTTACCCCATAACAGTTCTCGATAAATCTTCACGAGCAGCGAGTTTTTTGTACTTGGAAAATCTTTGAGCTTCTTCAAGTGAAAAGTAAGCTCAGACTTTTTTTTTATGATTTTCTCGGTTGTGGTATTGTTCAGGGCACACCATCTTGACGATATGGCTGTAGTGGTCATGGCGTCAGAATATCAACGTCAACATAGATAGACAAACATAGAACATCAACCAGCATATCGAACTTTCGAGAACTAGTCGCATACAAGATCACCTGAAATAGGGCAAAATGGTTCCTTGATGGCGATTCTACGCTGTTAGGTTTCAAGAGCGAACTAAGGACGTTTACACTTCATTCTCAGGTCTGAGTGATGATCTTTTCAGTTGCAAGTAAAGCAATTCAGTAACTCAAAATAGCCTAATAAAGTATTTCAAACAAAAATTATGGAAAAAAAAAACAAACAAAGAATAATACATAAATAATTCAAAACAAAGAAACAAACAAACAACTAGAGTGAGATACCTATCTAACGCGATTTAATTTCCATTCCCGATAACAGATAAGGCCGGTCATATAGATACTTCCCAACATGATATCATATTCGCCGCACCGATCCCACGCGATCCATATTACTTACAGAGATAATGTGACTATTAACCAAGTGTTTTTTTCTTTTTACCAATCATAATGACAGTGACTCACCGTAAAACTGCTCAGCGCTTAAGCCGAGAAAATCTCTCTGGGATGAAAGTGCCTCTAGCCCATCTCCTAAACCCACAACCAACTCGTGAAGAAAGCTTCAGAGTTCGGGGTTGCGATTTCTGTAAATTTACACCTCTAAATAAAATCTTCAGTTTCACCTTAAAAATTAAAGGCTAAAAAAAAACATGTTATGAAATATGGATTTCGAAACATGGGCACTTTAAATATTTTATGGCGCATAGTAAGCTGCAATTTTAAAACAGTTAAGAGGTAAGAAGTAAATGCAGAGAAAAGGTATAGACTTAAAAGGAACGAGAATGGTTTTTCACCACAAAGCACTGAGACGTCAATTTAGTGCGCGAGTAACGCAAATTACACCTCGATACCACAAACAGAATGAGGCTATACTGTCAGTGATCAAGAAGAACATAATAAAGTTTAACGGCAGTGAGATAAATGACAAAAAAGTGGAAGCTTTAGGATAGCATTTCTCAATGGCAATGTCTTTGGGTTTTAAAGGTGGCACCGCGCATTGCTTACGGATTGTTTTAATAATATTGTTGATAATGGACATGGGATGTATACGTGACGTATTTCCTTTACCTGGTATAAAGACTTTTCTATAACCCTTCCTTGGTGAGAATACTCTACTGATAAAAAGAACTTTCTTACTGTTGCAGTATCGGACGTATACCGGCCATCTTTTTCCTCTTTTAAAGTCTATCGAGGTAGTGAAATGAATGGATATAATGTTTGAAAATGGGAGCTTATTAAAGATCTAGCTCAGAACCTTCCTAGGCTTCGTCACGTTTTTTTTTTTGTTTTTTCAGGCCAGGCTGAATTGGGATCTATGTGCAATCTTAAGTCTCACCATGCAAGATCATTTACATGTGAAATTGAACCAATTTAAATCTGATATCGAAATAGTTTTTTTATAAACTTTCAAGTAACAAAATCTTTGAATAATCTTTGTAAATTGTTAGAAATAACTTCCAAATTACAAAAAGCGCTCTCGAATTCTTTTTCACGTGGATTTGTTGATCACACCAACAAAATTTCAGTTGTTTCATTTCGAGACACACCTGATTGAGGTTTTCAAAACAATTGCTATACGCTGCTGTATTAATTTCAGCTCACCGGTCGCAGATTAGCTTACACAGCACCGTTTCTTTCATTTGAGCATGGTCCACTCTGTGGAGAGACTCGGATTAATCCGTTGGAGCCCAGTCGCGTTGTCTACCAACCCACGGAGATTTAGCATAAACGCAAGGGTTACTGAGAATTGTCGGAAAATCGGCCAAAGGGTTCTGACGTAGAACAAAGTTTCCGCCGATGCTGGGTCTCCCATTTGTTCAACAATGGTTTAACGAAGAGCCTTTATTGTAATCATTTCATAAGTTCGAAACACGCCACGCTGTAACAGGTAAAGGGGCCGACAGCGGATGAACTTCAGAGTTAACGAATGGCCCCACAAACCACAACTTTTACCTCTCTCGGCTTACACGAAGTTCACTGAATTTATCTTCATAGGGCTTACGTGAACTTCTTGTATCACCAGCTCATCGTAACGGATTTCATTTAAATGGTATGGTTCCATTAATGCTGTCCTTTTTAGTACGATGATATAATGATAATGTTTGTAACTTAGGTCTATTCATCCGAGTAACCAATTTCTGTCATTGACTTCATAAAGTGGTAAGGGTGATAACACGTCATAATCCGTTTGAGGGATTCTCTGACGGTATATAATGACAGAAAAGAGTGCAAAACGAAAGAAAACACCTTGATCTTATTCTCTGGCCATAAAAGTAGCCCTAAAATTTGAAAAAAACAATTTTTAATTCAAATTCTTCGAACAAGAGGACTACTACTTTTGTCAGCAGAGATTCGTTTCCAATTTCACTCGTTTCTTCCTATCTTTTGTTTTTGTTTTTTTGTTTCTCGACTCGATGATACAGTATGTTAGAAAAACAGATATAGACCTCAACTTTAGAAGAGAAGTAACTCGACAAGATCAATGACAAAGTTACTTAACGGTGAAGGCATTGTTATTCCAATCAATACAACTTCTGCTTTGGCATGTCATTTTATTTCAAGAGTTAAATTCAGTTCATCTTCTCAGCAAATGTCGGAAAGGAACTGGTAAATTTCGCATAACGACTTTAAGTTGCAGCCCCAAGCCTCTCAATGACACAGCCACGAAATTTGCAAACCGCGCATCATGCGATGTGTGATAGTTAAAAGAAAAACAAAAGGCGGAGAATTTAATGTGTGACTGATGTGTGTTTTTATCCTAATTTTTAATATCTTACCTCTCGTTCAATAGAAGAAGTTATCTCTACCAAAGCAAGCAAGTAGTAGATTTACAATTCTGATTAAAGGTTGAATTGCTCACACTTAATTTGATCAGCTGACTAATGTTCGAACACCAGCTTACCCCAAGTCATTATTTCAGATATCGGCATGGCAACAAGTTATGGTTGCATGCTAAACTAAATAATTTAGTTGGTGTCATTTATCGGACATTAGTTCTTCGTTATAACTTTTTCTAGGCTAAGTGAGTTTGTGAAAAAATTACATCTGAGGCATGCAATCTTGGTCATCCGTATTGTAGAATAAATAACCAACCTTGGTTTATGCTACCATAGATCATTTCTGACCAACGTGCGCGTGAATTTAAACAATTCTAACTAACCCAAAAGCGATTTCGATGCTACGTTTAGTTCTCTGCAAAGACGGTTTTTGCAAGGGAAGGGTTAGTGGAGGTGGAGTTCGCCGGGCAAAGTAGTATGCAAAATAACAAAATCTTTCGCGACAATAAGACGTACACTTCACTCTGACCTGCAACAAATGGAGGACTTATCCCGACGAAAAATTCATTTTGTTTCCCAAGCGTTACTGAGCCAGTTCACAAGCGGCAGATGGCTGTCACAAAGCAAACTAATGATGTGATAAGCGGCCATTTTAAGATCGAAAACAAAGCAAACACCACTATGGGCAAAATACAACTAAGGAAGAAGCACAATTCAGGGGTTTGCGTTACAAAACGTTCAAAGAGACCGCGTGTTTTGGCGGCGAACGTTTGAGTCTAGACGGTCGTACAAAGCAATGTTATTATACGAGGTGCTAAAGGGTACGTTTCCGGATCGCATTTGCCGCATGTTTCTTCAAATCTTTTTTAAAAGCAATTTTATGCCACTTAATTAGCGAGATTTACAAATGATGAATGGTTCGAACGTCCCATCTCTGTTTTTCTTTCTCTCTATCAATTACTTTGGTTTTGTTGTTTCAGCAGACATACTTTTGCGTAATGTCGCATTTTTCTTTTTCAAAAACTGGCGGCTTCGTTATCACAATATATATAAGATGCACTTGAAAGACAAAACGAAATCAACTGTCCATCGTTCACCTGAGAAAAGTGAGTTAAGGTCCATAGATGATTTGTGTTTTTCTTAAGATAATATAATCAGATTACTCTCGAGAAAAGTGGCTCAACTGTTGTCTTCTTGGCTTGTTTTTCTTTCAGTGATGAGGGTTATAAAACAAAAACAAAGCTGACAGCAGAAGGAAACTTCTAAAGGGCTCCTGACTGGACCATGCTTGAGTGGGTGAGTGAATAAATGAGAGAGCGGCTTTTGTTTATCGGAATGATAACGCGCTTGAACACGGGCTCACCACTATGATTATAAAACCACAGTACCACGTACTACTTTGAACTTAATCTTAATCAAACACATATTCCAAAAACCCTGGTTAAGGTGGGATCAGCTTGAAAAGACTGAAGATCCAACTCTGCTTTTTTTACGAAAATTAATGATTTCATCCGGTCGTAGTGTATCTACCAAACCACGTTTCTACTACTCCCGGACAATCAAAATAGCATGAAAATAAAGCCGTGGAAAAGGTAATGCATGACAATACATAAATTGTGGAAAAAGTCATTTCAAATGTTAAATGCGCACATGAGAAACCGTAGTCAAGCCGTAGTGTTTTGTAAGTTATCGTGCGGTTGCACGTAATTTAACCACTCACTCACCAAATGCCCAAAACTTTAAGTGTTTTTATGACAAAGAAGGCGGCTAAGCCAAGCGAAACCTCACGGAAAGGGAAATTAGCTTCACCAATGCATGACTTTCATCTATAGGAATTAATTCCTAAACAAAGTAAATACGTCATGCTTGCGATTGTACCGTCAAGTAAGAGTTGATTGTGCTGAGCCAAAAATATCAGCCGGATTCTTACTCATTGGGCCATAGGGCATAAAACGGAGGAACAGTGGACCAACGTTGATTCTTCACTAGGTTGGCTTGAAAATTCCAAGAATAGTTTGGGAATTAACCGCAGTCTTTCCTATCAACAAAGCACACACGAAACTAAGCTACAGCCAAAATTAAAAGCATAGCTGGCGCTAAGCCGTTATTAACTCGAAGCAGTCTTAAGTACACGAAGCGATTTTAGACATTCAATAATTTGTAATGTACTTGGATTAAACCCTGTGAAAAGACTAAGTGATCTTAATTAACGTTTCCACTGAGTCAAACTATTTTCAGTTAGGATGAAAAAAAAAAAAATACGGTGTAGAACAACACTGGTCATTTTATCAAGATTTCCAATGGATTCATGCTTGTTTACAAACTTTGATCTTTTCAACAAACGTGCTATCTTCGCATCGCTGTCTAAGGCCACTAGTCACTTTCGTCAAACTTTATTGCGCCGTCATTGCCATAGAGACAACATGGTATTTTTAGCAGTCTCTCGAGAGCAATTACCTTCGTCAGAACACGGACGCCTAGTAATTTATGCATAGTTTAGGATCAAGGACTTCGTATGATTGAATCAACAAAGAGTACACTTAAGTGCCGCGGAAATGTGCACAAAATCACTCCTTTGGAGAAAGGTTGACAAATTCAGGGGAAGGTAACCATAAATTTCAGTGGATAAAAGACTTTTCAAGGACCTGCATTCGTTCTCTTCTTCCGCTGTTTTCACTTAGAATAAAATACCTTTAATAATTTCAAAACAATGAGATTAGGGCGGCCCGGAAGTTAGAAATAAGTTTCATTTGGACTGTTTTCTACGAGCTGACTCAGAAAAATACTTTCTGTGTGCAAAAAGAGCACAGCTCCTAAGGGGAACAGAAAAGATTATCGGGGCTTTTCGTCTGAGCGAAATGCAAACAGTTAGAATACTATAATCAATAGCAGTAATTCACTCTTTTTGTTTCCCCAAGTGAAAGGCTCCATTTTACTCCAGAGTAAGGGCGCTCGGTGTTCGGCCAATAACTTAAGATTAACAATCAACGCAACCTGAAATTTAGCAAAATTCTCCAATATCTGACGCGCACATGTGCAAAGAGCACCTCCTCAAGCCGCGGAAGTCGCTAAATACACTTCTACGTTCTTCGGTGACTTAGGGCTCTTTTGTTCATTTGCCGAAAAAGACCAGATAAGACGAGCAAAGAATTCCAATTATTTCAAACGGCTCGTTCTTTTCTTTAACCAAAAGGTTCCGTAAAAAGTTATCCGAATCAAATGCCTGTCATCTCATCACCCAACATTTAGCCTTAACGAGTGTTTGCTATTTTCCGCGTTTGTATAAACTTTGGCCACAAATAAGGCAGTATTAGGCTGCTAGATGGATCAGTCACATGGGCCCAACATGTCAAATGAGACATCGGTTTTTTAGACAGTTTTCTTACCGCACACTGGAGCAATTATTCGCAGCTAACAATATCACATCAGACTGGACTGTGGCAAAACGGGTACAAAACTAGTTAACAATGAATCGAATCTCTGCTGTGACGGATCGAATATATTAAAAGCATTCTCGTAAAAAGACCAAAGCGTAGATATGTCGTAAAACAATAATGACATCCCCAACGCGTAAATTGTGGTCTCATTTTCCAATGCGAGTAGATGGGAAAGGAGTACTACGCGACGGAGACGGTTACGAGAATGGTAAGAAGTTTTACTAAAAGACGTAACCGTCCTCTGGTTTCCAGCGCCGTTCCCTAAATAACGACCTCTTTCTTTCTTTTTGTCTTTAATCCAATCTGTACATTTTAGGGTTTTATAAGTCTTATCACAAATTTTCGCGCGAAGGTGGTAACATAACGATTTTTATCAGTTTGCTTAAATTATTAACAAGTCTTAATAATCTCTTGTCTATTTTCTGTATATATCTAGGTAACGTTTGCACCCATCATTTGTCTGCTTATTTGTTCATCAGTGGCCTTGCCGTCACAGCAAGCTGTTAACGCTAGCAACGACAATTTTAAGCAGCAGACTCAAGCAACAAAAAACCAGCGAGAGGAACTAGTGCCGAAAACCACAAGAGTGTACAAAATGGGCATTCTCAAGGTACCCACAAACACAAGGCTGGTTCGACTTTACAACAAAAATGGATATTTTCTGAAAATCTCTACTGCAGGAAGACTTCGAGGAACAAGGAGAATCGACAATCCAAACAGTAGGTACACATTAATGAGGCAAATCGTGTAAAGCGAGACCTGCTCCTTTGTGCGAATATTTGTTCGATTACTCGCAATGTTTTGGTTCTGCGATTTCCATACTAATTATCTCCACGCACGATCAAAACATTTGCTTTTAACGACAGTAAGTTTTCTTAAGCCTATCACACTGGAAAGCAAACAAAACCCCCGCATCGCCAGACGATTCTTAGCGGTGCGAAGTAGTTTAGGTTTGTTCAGTGTAAACTTGACTTTCATTATGCGGTTAACAAGTTATCGAGTTGTGCCATCTTTCCACCTTACTTGGCTAGAGCCAACGAAGTCTAGCGTCATCAAATTCCTAAACACTCACTGCAATATAACGACCACATATCGTGGATATAACCACAGCAGAAGAGGAAAAAATTTGTAGACGACCCCCAAAAAGTCGATCAGTCATTTTCTACCGGAAAGTAAAACCACTTTCCTTGTCAAGAATAAACGATAAAGGATCGTGTGGGTGCTCATTTCTTTAGAGTCTGATCCACTTAACATGACAATAGAAGAGGCTTCTCGAAAAGACACTGAAAGTTAACCAATTTCAAGAATGGAGTGCGTAGATGATAACCATCGAAGTCTTCATGGCTATCGTTTAAGAGTTTATCTCATATTGAGGTCAAGATTAAAGGATAAATGATGTAGAGGTTTACAAACGAGCGAAACAACGGAAGGCAGAAAGTCTAGGATAACACTTGTAATCTTGTTAGCCAAACATAACTAGACTTTGGGAAGTAACTCAATAAATTATGCAGCCTCGGCGAAGTAAACGACTATGGATTCCGAGTTACTTGACAGATAATTTAAAAAGTCGTTTAAGGGGGCAAATCGCACAACTAGTGAGCTTTGACATATTGAAAAATGACATCTATTAATTCATTTATTTAAAGAGAAACAAATTGAACCGCAGTTATCGTAAAATACATTCGTTAATTAAACCATTACCCATCATGTGAGTAATTTTCACTAATTGTCTGTGAAATTGATGTCTGACGCTTGCGATCGAAGCAGAAATAACATACAAAATCGGCAGTGACTGAAACGGCTCGCAAAAAAAAAGAAAAGAGAGAGAGAGAGAGAGAATGGAACGTTGACTATTTCGCTTCCGTGAATTATCGAATGCGAAGTTAGCTCTTTCATCTCAACTGAAGCGCCATCAAACAAACACAGCAGTTTTGTTTGTTTACTCATTTCCGGAGGCCGTGAGATTCGTGGGCGTTCTTTTAACAAAAGAGAAGCCTGTACCTCCCGCGATAGGGAGAAGTAAAACACTAACAATGCAACGTTAGTGGTTTATCAATGAAATTAACGCGCCCGAAAGATGCCTGAGAGAGAGAGAGAGGAAGTGCGCTTGGAAAGGCACAATCAAAGCATTCGATATTTTTAATAAACGAACCCTCGAAACGGGTTGTTCTCCGGAAAAGCGCCAATTCACGCTAGGGTTGGAGTTTTGAAAAGCGTAATCAAAAAGAAACACAGTTCTTCTTTATCGAACATCTTAAAGGTAGGTCCTTGGACAAGAGGGCGACGCGCGATAGCTTTGTCGCGCCAAACGTCCACAGGCTGGCGATTTCGCAAGAAAGAGAATAAAAATAATATCAATCACATCAACTGAGAGAAACAAGTGTTTCTTTTTATCAGTTAGGCTATGTTCCTATGGAAAAAAAAAATAAACTACTACAAAGGGTCATATTCTAACTGTAGAGGCAGTTGGCCGCTGCATTATATATGATCCACACTAATAAGCCCTGATCCTGAGATACAATGAAATATATGAATTTCATATATTTTATAAGCCCTGATCCTGTAGGGAAGTTTGTAGAACACTTGTTACCCATATCAAAGATAAGTTGAAAACGAGATTTAAATTAACAATATGCTATCACGGGTTGTTCTTTCAAATATAAGACCGTTGTGGCAAGTTAGCTTTCCCTAATTGCGTGATAGTCACAAGAGGCTCCCAATCAAAATTATTAATATACGTCGTGACAATTACATTTTTATTTACCCACCTCACAGCTTGTTGGCTCAAACAAGCCTAGCTATTTTTAGAGCGGTGTTCAATCCCAAGCAGTAAGCGACAGCAGGGGTACAAAATTGTTGACATTCGAATTCCGGTCTAATATCTGAGCTAATTTAAACGAGGAGAAAAACTACAGACAACATGATAAAAACTGAGGGAAAACCCAAAAATTACCAAACAAGATCAGTTGAATTGAAAAAAAAGTGACATTCTTACAGAATTGGATGTTTCACTTCAAACAAAGATCTGACTCCAAACTACTACGTTTTACCGTGAGAATCATTTATGTTATGCATAAATAGTCATAAAATATATTTATCACTGACTCAGTTAGGTTCTTTACAAATTATAGAAACTATCTTTAATATGTGGTCCAATATCGGCGGAGAGATTTAAAATAATGCTGAAAATCGCTTTCGCAGCGAATATCGTCCTCCTCGTAAAAGGAATACGCAGTGAATATTTCTATTCGAGGCGCTGTGTGCGTTTTGCTTTCTTTGGTACTTGCTTAACCTTACACTTTGTGTTGCAACTACATTTATCTTATGAACTTTGACATAATAAGAAATGAAAAGACGAGGAAAAAAGATACACTTCTTTTGAAGCAAGTGGCCGATAACTACATGAATTAATGAAATTCAAGACATGATTCGTTTGTGGACAAAGTCTCGCATAAAAAGATTTTTCCACAAACTTTTTTAACATAACTTGTTTATTTTTTGCCATGCCCATTATTTCGCATTACCAGTACTCAAGTAACTCGTAGCCACTAGTATGAAACCGAGATCAATGCTTTGCCGTATCTCGATTTTACTTGTGTATGTCACCATGCGATTTCCTCATGTGAAAGGAAAGCACGTTGTATACTCTCCTGTTTCAACACAGGCAACAAAGGAAGGGGTTTCTACTTTTTGGTTGGTATATTAGCCACTTTTTGTGAATTCTCTTAACAAAAGACTTAAAATAGAAAGCTTTAAAGTCACTTCTATCATTTCTAGGTCAGGTTACCAAATTCCAACGCCGTAAGTAGTGGCATTATATCTTTAGCTTCAGCAGAACTGATATTTTTTGATAGGAGCTATGAACACTTTGTTCAAGCTCTTCAGAAGATAATTCTAGCAAGGGGCCTCGAAATATCTACGATTACTACTACCTCAGGTTTCCAAATTCGCAATTTGGCGATAAGTGATCTTCTATCTTAGGCTAATCACTTAGAGAGGAAATAAGGATAATTTTCACTGGGAGGTATGCACAGAATAACCTCTCAATAAAGTTTTCCAAAAAAGTATCTAGCCACTTAAATTATCTCAAAATTAATTTACATTTCTGAAGCGTGTAACTATTGCGATGCTTCTATCAAATCAAGAGACTGATAAATTACTGACCCCTGGTTGTAAACACATGACAAAACATTTGGCTTCTCAAAAGATTCGTAGATCGAAGTACGAAACACGAGGTTAACCAACACGGTTTTCCTTTCGGAACGTTTTATTAAGGCTTGGCTGTAACTTTAGTTAACGGAAACGTGATGTAAAAACTAAAACCTTCAAGAGGTCTTTCCTTATAACCAGCGTGGTATAAAAAACGTTAATTAAGCCTCACACTGATCTTTTTGTAAAACGGTGTGTTACGATAGCCAATATTAATTCTTTGTTTAGCGATAAGTAGGTACTTCGCGCATAAACCAAATGAAGGTCTTTAAACACGCTATCTTATATTTACTTGGTAGATAACAGTTTCGTGGTTGCAAAAGCAATAAAGAAAGAGATACAATAGAGTCTGTCCTTCAATCACGTTTTTGAAATAAACTTGCCCGGAAAATGCTCTTTTTTGTTGTTAGATACAAAACGAAATTGGATCATCCAATAAATCGAGGAGTTCAATTTGATTCCCACGAGGGGCCTTTAAGCATTTATAGCCTATTAATTGTATTCGTAAACCAATTGATAAGAGAAGCAACAATACTAATTGCGTCATGTCTTCTTTGTGCCACTTGTAAAGGCCACTTCCGTTTAACTTCAGTAGGGGGGTTTGTTCTATATGCACGAAGCCATAGCTAACCAATTGAACAGGAACGCTCACGAAAGCGTATTTCAAGAGATACAAAAAAGTTTTAACAACTTCGTTAGGATTATTCCACCGGCGAGGGATTCCATTGAGGATTCCACGAGACTAATTGGTCGTGGCTTAGGAATGTCAGAGAGTGCTCAACGCAGATGATGAGTCATCAGTCATAGCTTCACGTGTGCCCTACACACCTTGTTTTATGGCAGACAGACGACTGATGTTGACCCACATTTGCATTTTTTTTCAGTTACAACTATTCGAAGGATTTCATTTAAGGGGGTCTTCTCACGATCGAAAATGGAGCCCAATATTGGGGCTTTCGAAACTGTTTCAGCGAGCTACTAGCCCACAAGCTGTAACTAAGACGGCCTGCTTTTTGCAAAGGAGCACTATGTCATTGTTGCGTGGGCGTTTTGCTACACCCTTTCCGTAGTTGCTCAAGTGAAGTTAATGGGAAATTTAGCGTTTATATTGCATCAAATTAGAAAGTTTTTCGAAACCCCGTAAGTGAAGAGTTACCTTATTTGGATGTCTCAATAGCAGTTCTCTAAGTTTAGAAAGTACTCAATGAAGTTATGAAGAGCACGATCATCTTTATCTTATATTCATCTCCATCTAATTTCAGCACTTATCGTAATGGAGTCGATGGGTCCTAGTATTGTTCGACTCAAGGGCGTGGTGTCTAAGACGTATCTCTGTATGAACGATGAGGGGGTTTGTCACATTATGGTAAGTGTCATTAAAGATTCTTGAAACAGGTTTTTTTTTATTGCGTAAGTGGGACTAATAGACCAGAGACCTCTTTCTCAAACGTTCCGGTACCCATCAAGCATGGACCCGAAGTCATATTCTAAAATCGACATTTAAAGAATAAAGGAGCAGATTCTGGAACCCTAACCAGTCTATTTTGTTTCTTTAGCTAAAAATTTATGGTGTAATTTTCCCGAAACTTTAGAAACCCCTATCTTGAGTGAAAAGAGCCTCATGAGCCCGCTAAGTTAGCGACCGTAACCGTTAGCATGATCCTTACTTTTTGGTTAATGCCTTGACTTGTGTTGGCCTGGATTACGCACCCGATTAACGATAATCAAATATTTCACAAAATTTCTTCTGAGCTAAAAGACTAATCGAATTGACAGACAGTCTGAGCGCTTCTATGGCTTGATGACTTTTTGTTCTACGCTGATTAACTAACTCGGAGACTCCCTATGCTAACTGGCTAATTCAGGGTGGGATGCCTCCTTTCAAAACTTCTTGTGCTGCTTTATTGACTGACAGACTGACAGATCAATTGATCGATGGTTTTAACTGACTGACTGACTCATTGAAACACCACAGAGATGACCGAAGTAATGACTGGCTCAGTGGTCGGTTGACTAACAAGCGAGCTGGCCGGATGGATGAACGTCAGATTAGACTCGCTAGCTGATTTACAGTCAAACGAGGTCACACTGTGCATCCTTGAATGGTTAGATATCTATTTGGTTGGATTGTTGGCTCGATCTACCCGAGGATAATGTTTTTGTTTTCATCTTTTCAGACTCAACCATCGGACGAATGCCTGTTTAAAGAGAAGCTAGGTGCAAACTATTTCAACACTTATGCTTCATACAAGTATAGCGGAAAGAACCCTGGAAACATAACCCAAGAATTCTACATCGCTATCAAGAAAAACGGGAAGCTTAAACATGGCGCTAACACAGCCATGATACAGAAATCTGTGGACTTTACGGTTGTGCCGCAAAAGAAGAGAAGGAGCAGCGGATGATCGTGCTACTAGAAAAAGCACCGAGAAGCCGCATGGCTTCAAGGGACATCCATGTCGGTAATGGAAACGTACGAAAATCGTAAACGTGTTTGGTCGAGACATAAAGAAAGAAAATGGATAACTCTTGAAAACTACTGTAGCTCGTCAAACAGACAAACAAACACACAAGGAAAAAAAGCCACAATGCACAATTAGGATTGAAGAAAACAGTAAGAAATAACAAGAAAGCAAAAAGAGGTTGTAGGGCAGGATATACTATCAAAAGTTTAAGTGAGGAGGGTTGGCTGGGTTGTAAACGAGTAGCAGCTCACAGGAAAATATAACGGGAGGATTGACAGTAGAAGGTGCCAATGAGGGGCGTAGAAACTGATGCACGCCTTTGAAAAAACTGAGTCCAAAATGAGCCCGTTAAACTTATTTCCGGTTTGTATCGGTTTATGTCAATGACAACTGGTTGGGTACCGTTCACGGAGTGTTTTAAACGACTTTTGCAAATATTGTCTAAGAAACGAGGCTTTGAGTGCTTCGTTCTCTTGAGATCAGTTATTTTAACAAACGTCTACGGCTAAAGCAAACCGCCTGGCTCTACACTCTTTCAATGTTCAACTTTAACCATGTTGTGTCCATTTTGGGCGAATTTGAAAACTGATGACAGAGAGTTGTTACACCCCTTACGGCTGAAATGTAGACGAGATTCGACAAAAAAGTATGTTTTCACTGGAAGACAACATACTTCAGATGTAGGCCACCGCTGAACTTCTCATCTCTTCTTCCGTGGGCAGCACAATTGCTACGGCGTCAAAACATCTATTTAAGAAACAAATGAATAAAATTTTCAGAGGAAAATGAACGAAAAACTCTCTTATAAGTAAAAACAAGAGAGATATTCTCTTCGTAAATATCGACCAAAGTTGAGCATTCTTTGGCACAGTCCAGATACGGAGAAAAAGAATATTTATTTTTTTCAAAATATAACAAACAAAAGAAGAGGAAGTGTGAAATTACCTCAGAGAAAAAAAAAAGTGATGTAGATATAACGCGATGTAAATATAAAGCGATGTAAACATAGCGTCATTTGCAAAAAGCGATTTCAAACAATTCACATTAATTTTCGAGATATAAAAGAGTCGACAGAGGCTGCTCTGAATTCCCACGATATAAGAGAGGACGTGAGTATTATTATTTTGAAAATTACACTCTCGAATTATTGTAACAACTTTCGTAATAAATAAAAGTACATCAAAAACATTTTTTTGGTCTTCAATCTTGTCCTCATTTACTGAATAGGACCTACTGGAAGGAAGAAATTAAAACGAAAAAAAAGAGGAACAAAAACTAATTTAAAATGTTTCTCTAACGATAACCAGTTTTTTATCAGCCACAAGGGGCGTTTTCCAAGGAATTAGATCAACTCAGCAATTTGCGCAAGGTCAGAATGCTAATGGCGGTAAGTACAGTTCGAGATTTTCTATTTCTAGTGCGCCAACATTAAACAACTGCAAATGAAAAATTACTGCCCACAGACGTGTAAGACATCTATTTATTACACGACCCGGGCAGTCAGAGGGCCAATAACTAAAATCAACCAATCAAAATGCTCTATTGCCGGTCAATATTCTCTAAGTATTGGACCGGGCACTGTCCCGAATGGTCCCGAATGATACCGCACTTGTGTCCCTTTGAACTTCAGTCNNCAGGTCTGATTTTCGCTATTGCATAAATAGCGCTATCTACTGCGAGGATCGTGCATCACACAAAACTATCATTACTCCAGTGCTCTGTAGGTGGTTGGAGTTTGAAATTCAGAGTTGCTTGCAATGAATCACAAATTTTCAGTTTAGGGCTCTAAGTGTCGGAAAACATCATTCAGAGCACAAGGTAGCTCTGACTTTTCTTCTACTAATTAAAAGTAAAAGATAGATATTGTGATGAAAGAGAGAAAGAGAGATGCGGATAAGAAACTGTGATGATTAGAGATCATTTCATGATAGAACATCCATGAGAAAAATCTATCATGAATCAGGAGATCAATTCTAAGCAATCTTAATGCCCACCCTAGATCTTAACATACCGTTAGCATACCATACAATCATCGATTTGATAGAGCTTTACATTCGTTTTTCCATACCCCAGTTGACAGAGAGATACACTCTAAACCACCAGTTGACTTGGATGATCTAATAGCATTCACCAGCAAACTTGTGACTTTTAATGTCTGGAAGACATAAATCAGAATTCTCACTCAGTAAGACAATGTTTAGCATAATAAGATGCTGTCAAAACACAGTTCATTCCACACGTCTACAGTCAAGAACTCAAAATAATATAAAACTAGTCACCAAAGTGGAGGTGGCTAGTTTTTTTTTTTGTGTATTCACTTAAACAAAAATATAATATGGTCCTAAAGGATGATTTCATCTCATTAATTCCTGTTCAGTAATACTCCATCAGAAATAAGGTCCAAATATGGTATGAACAAAAAGTGGCACGTGAAGGGCAGTCGAGTGTGTCACTCATGATGTTTTTTGATGTCTTTTGTGATCTGTTACCCGACAGACCCCGAGCAACATGGAATCTATTTCTTTTATATGACAACATGCAAGATATAAATTATTAATGGTAATGTCATCTTTGCATCTGTCCTATAATAGATCACATAAGTGAAAAACCAGTCAAAATGCAAAAAAACAATTTTAAAATAAATAAATAGATAAAAGTATAAATAAAGAGGTTAAGATTTTACGACCAGATCCTACTATTGTAAAACAAAGCTGTAGTCCCAAAAAGGCACTCTACTTTTTTGCCATTGTTTTGTCTATCCAATAATTGCATGCATAATGAAGCATGGGGCTGTGTGGAAATCATACCATAAAGAAAATTAAACAGCCTTAACATCAGTATGCACATTCTCCCTACTGTTCTCTCTTCACTATGGTACTTACAAGGAGAACTTGTCTAATAACCAACAGCTTCTTGAGTTTGTGATCATTTCCTTTATTCCCATGACCTTAATGTTTGATTCAGGGGCGATAACGTTGGGAGAAATAATAATAATAATGATGATAATAATAATAATAATAATAATAATAGTAATAATAGTAATAATAATATAATATGCGACATGCATGACTAGGAAGGAGTAAGGAGCCGCTGTTCATGATATGAACCCGCGCTCCTTCCCGGAACAGTATCGTATGGCGGTAGTTTGTCGCGGCAGTTGAGTCAACTTTAAACTTAGGAGCATCATAAATTTTGAAACGGCTAGATTCGATTTATCAAAACTCACTCAACAGTTAGGTATTACCTCAAAATGGGAAATCCTAGAGTTGTGAGAAAATCTATAGAGGATTCTCCGAGACCATCCCCATAAACTGTTTTACGGGATCAGTCCCACATCATTAGCACGATAATATATATTTAATGTCCAACTGTGCTTTGTAGAGTACAAATAACGCGCGAAACGAGTACAAATATCACGTGATATTTGTACTCCAGAAACATCCGCGAAATTCGTCCGCACTGAAATAACAGTTTGGTGTGTTGGATAATAAATCTCTTATTCGTAGATGTTTTGTTGTGTAGTATCGCTGAGTATTTTTACTCGTTGCTTGTATTTTGACCTGCCCTACGGCGCGTCAAAATACAAGCAACGAGTAAAAATACTCAGTGATAGTACGCAACAAAACGTCCTATAAACTTTATTTATTTAGCACGGGGTTTACGTGAGAGGGCAAGCGTCAACTTTTCCTTTCACGTTTCACGTAAAATAGCTTAAGCTTTGCGTGAGCTCACGTCATGGAGGATTTGAAGGCGCCCCTGTTTGATTTACAAGGAATAGTTTTAGAGCCCTTTTTCCAGCAATGATCTTCTTCTCCGTTGAGAGGAAAAGGGAAGAAAATCCTACTCACAAGGCAAAAGCAAAACCGGTTACTTTCGCGTAGAAACGGGAAAGCGCAACCAGCAAACGTAAAATAATGGCGAGAAAACAAGGTCACGTGGTCATTCTTGCCGTTCACAATTCACTTAAACGCGGTGTTAAGTCTCTCTATTAGTGATTGCCATGCAACACCCACTATCTCAAGCTTCATTCCTTCGGTCAACGTATGTGTGAAATTGGTTCGACTTCGAAGAGGGAGAATTTGTTTTTGAGCGCTTTTAATATAGTCGGTAGGTGTCTAAGAAAAACTCTTCTGTGATTTAGTTATACTTTTGCACTATTAATTGATTTTACCTCTTATCTCTTGTATTTTATTCGTTATATTATATATTATCTCAAAGTTATGCCATAGTTTTTAACATCCGTATTGTACATAATTTTAGAGGGCCACAGGTTTGATAGTATTTTTATACTATTTTAGTACTACCCTCTTTAAATAAAGTCTTTACTTACTTACTTTCCAGCTACACGTTTTGCCCTCGATATAAATGAAAAGGATCGTGAGGAGGGCGAATTAAAGGAACTATAAAAGAGCTTGACACCTTCAAAAACTCACAAGATTCAAAGGAACAACACGGAAGCAAGGAAAGTTGTGTTTCTACACAGTTATCATCAGATATAGTGACAAGGAGAGAGGCAAATGAAAGAGTTTGTATAAATTACGTGGTCAAGCCCATAACAAAATCGGCGAATATTACAGAAAAGCGAGATGAGATAAGTGAAATACTGTTCAAAGTACGCGTTGACGCGTGAATTTTTTCTAAAATTTGTGCGTAAAACGGGATCAAGACCTCCCCCCTCCCTCCTTCGCTAGCCTCTATATTTTCTGCATCAGGAGTTCTTTATTGCCTTTCGTCTTCTAGGAACTGTATTTTCGTTACATGCACGTTTCATCTATCTACAACAAAAGAAAACGTGACGTAACTTCACACGAGAATAGAAGCATCATTGGCTGTTCAATTAAGTGACTTTATCGTGCGTTATAAGACTTGCGCACGTGATAATGCCGACCTAACCCCTGCGTGCGGGAACGAGAAAAGGTGGAGACGCGTGGCGTAACAAGCATTGAGCAACTGGGTGCCGAGACCACGGGCACTCCACTGGCTCCCCACCAGCACTGAAAGACAACATTGACAGAAAAAATCAGTCGATTTCTTTTTCGTGCTAACATCATCCCTACAATACTAGATATAGGGACCGTTTGCCCTTTGACAAAACATCAAAATATCAAAGTTCTTTCCGCCACAACGGCGCAAAATCATGGCATACAAAGAATAAGAAACGAAACTACATTCTCTATATCCAAGAAGCTACTTTAACGACATTTTGTGTTATAGCTTAGAAATGAGGCGTCACAGTTGGCACAGGACATTTTTTTAACTTTCTACGTATTGTAATTTGTGTCGTGGGTTAGTTTGTGTATTTTGTATTTTTATAAATATATTGACATATTTTGTAAAGGCCCCAATATCTAAACCAGCTTCAAGCTGAACTGGACCAGCTTGTTTAAATCTTGCATTTAAATAAATAGATAAACGATGACTGGACGTTTCCGTAAGATTGAATTCTTGAAATTCTTTCCAAGTCGTCCAATATGGTGCAATAAAGACGATTTCTTTTCCCTGCAGAATGCTGATGCATGACCGTTGTTTCATTGCGAGCATGCTCATATAGCCTTATCCCACGTTATGATGTTTTAGAGTAACAGCAAAGAAAAAAAAAATGAATAAAATAAGTAAATAAATAAAGAAATAGAGTAGAAGGAAATATTTTATTACACGTGTCCAAAAATGAAATGCGAAAGCAAAGGGGAGAGAGTTTTCCTATTCCATCTTTATCGATTCAAACTTCACAACGTGAATTCCTCTGCATGATAAAAAGATATTCTACTGATTTAAATATTTCCCATTCTTACTAAAACTACTGAATTAATGGTAAATGAAATAATAAAGAAGCTTAAGCCAGACGACATGGCAAAATTCTTGTATCGATTTCGGCAGGAAAAAGTTTCATTGATTTATTCAGGCACCAAAGTAATCGTTAACTTCTCATCTTGTTTTTCCAGTACGTACAAAAAAACATTATGGGTAGGCAAAACAGCGACTCCAGCCAGTGCAATGCCACCGTTCTTAGGCATACTGGTAACACCCATCGAGAACTCCCTCTGTTCCGGTGGGACCTGGATAAGAGATAGGAACCATGTTAGTCCCAGTGTTACTTTGCCATTTAATTCTTTACTAGCTAGAAACATCAACGTTTGACACAAAGTCAGATGGAAGAGTTCAACGTCCT